TGTGTGTGTGTGTGTGTGTGTGTGTGTGTGTGTGTGTGTGTGTGTGTATGTATGTATGTATGTATGTGTGTGTGTGTGTGGGTGTGTGTGTGTGCAACAGGGATTCCTTTGGTATGAGTCAGAAAGGATGCCTTCAGCTCTCATTTACACCCACACTTTTTTTTCCCAGACACATTCACATATGCACAAGCGCACGCGCGCGCACACGCACGCACACACACACGCACGCACGCACGCACGCACACACACACACATATATTTCCGTATGCACCCTCAGCATTCATCACATTGCACATTCCAAACTGTGAATTCCTGAATTTTGCTGCCAAACCAAACTCCATCAGCCTGCTTGTGTTTGAATCATCCTCAGTAAAAGTGTTTTTTTCCTCAACCACTGTGTCTCCTGTGTCTAACGCTCGGGTAGCCATTGCTTTTAAATGGCACACATGCAGCTAACTCGCACAGTAGTCAGTTTGCTGAGAACATCAAGATTCAAAACATGCGTTACTGTTTACACAGACTGCTCGTTTGAAAGCCAAAAGCTGCAGAGCACCAGTTGCACCACTGGCACTTGGCAAACATTTACGAACTCTGTTTAGCTTAGCCGACTAAAGACTGCACTGTTTTTCATGAAAAAAAGATGACCTTTGTCTAGTGTCAATGTTTGATGACCTAAAATGCTGAAAAGAAAAGTCAGATTGATTGATGAGTGTGTCGGTTGGAGATTTGTCAAAATAAATGTATGAATGGCTAATCTACTTCCATTTTTTTTTGATGGATAGAGGACTTTTTCTTCTCAATTGCCTCACTCGCCACAGGAATCTCCAATCAGGCTGAACTCATCAAGCGTGAAAAAACATTTGAAAGGACGGCTGAGAGGGACAGAAGAAAACAAGAAGGTCCTTTCTCTTTTTCCTGCTTAGAAAGCTCATTATTCCTCAAGCTCGCCTCTGTCTGAAAAGCACCCCCACCCTCTCCTCTAAATTACTTCACTTTTTTAGTTCCCGCCTCACCTCCCCACAGGCCCACACTGTGTGAGTGACTCCACTTTTTCTTCTACTATAGCACCGCCTCCATTTTCTCACTGGCTCTTTTATTTCCTCAGCCCCTCCTTTCCTTTCTCCCCCCCTCTCCTAGTGTTCTCCTGTTTCTCTTCATTGCTGGTTACTCACACCAACCAGCTCACAGCTAAAGAGCTCCTCTGTTCCCGCCACGCTGATCGGGCTTTAAACCAGAACTTGCCCCCTGAAAAAAAATTGAGATTACCAAAGGAATTCATTGCTCAAGTTTAAAGGTACAACATTTTTTTCTATCTTAGTATTTTACCATTTCACATGTCTTCAAATACATACTTACCATTTGACCAGTAGCTGTATCTGTGTGTGTCTGCATGTGTGTGAGGCTGTGAATCAATATTAGTATAACCGCACGTGTGTTAGTTACTCGAGTGTACGTATAAGGAAGTCTGAATGCCCTATGGGTGCAACACGTGTTCTTCATTCATATACACAGCGTTTCATTGACAGAAGACTTACATTATATTATATTTTGTAATCATTTTTGGACTTTGTATGTGCTGTATAGAGTTTTTGAGTGACAGTTCTTATAGATTGTAGCAAAGCCATGATACACAGCACAACTCAAAAAATGGATAGACTACCTTTCCGCACTTGTTTTTGTGCTCAAATATCAAATGCTACCTCTCACAATATGTTCTTCCCTTTCAATCAAGACACTCATAAGTGAGGAAGAGGAGCAACAGCTTTCATCAAGCAGCACCTGAAAGGTGTGTCCATCAAAGTTGACTGACAAGTTCAAGTTCCTGCAAGTTTTTTAACAGATCTGACGATTCCAGAGGCAGCTATGACTCAGAGCAATGGAGAGAACCGTCAAAGGAACCGGAGCGGTCTCCACCAGATCCGGGCCATGATCCAGTCCCGATCAATGCTGGCCAAGAAGAGAGTGGAGAACATCACGAAGGATGACGTGAAAGGATTCTTCAAGAGAAACGCCTTTGTGCTCTTTACCGTCGCTGCTGTAATTCTTGGTAAGTGTGAACATTTTCTTTGTCCCGTGAGACACTGTTTAGACACTGCATTCTATTCGTTATTTAGTTGACTTAAAACGGGATATTTTTGGAGACTTTGTTTGCTCTTCTCATCACCACCCGATCCAACAATCCTTCAATCTGGGGTAACCAACACAAGTGTAGCAGTACGGAAGAAGGAAATGAATAGAAACAAACCCACCGGATGAGAGCATAGAGGGGCCTCAGATGAATTTAGCAGACAGGCTTTTGTCTGACCCTGCAGCTGACCCTTGACCTGTTGCCATTAACCTTTGAATCTGACTCAGTAGGAAGTGAGCCAGGCCCACCCACCGCATGCACATCTGCAGCCTGGCTGGATTTGCACCATGCCATAACAAACACATGGGACTTGTTGGTTTGTTGAATTCAGGATATTCTTCACTTCAGGCTAATGGGTCAGCCACCTGGGCCCTGTTGGTGGGGATGAACTACTCTTTAAGTGAATAGACTTCACTGAAACTGAAATCAAGTTTAAAAATGACCACAGCAGAAGTGACAGTCAATGCCTATCCCCCTCAAAATAGCAACATATTCTACTGCTAATTAAAAGTCTTCCCAGCAACAATGACTATGTACTCATATGCTTTAATCTTGAAGATCATACCACACCTCTCTTGCATCATTATAAAAAACACATTATTTGTACATGAAACCTCATTGGCAATAAACCGGTTTCTGTTTTGGAAATGTTTCAGCTTTCAGGTTTTATTTCGGAACTTATCATTGTGGTATTGATATCCATTCATAGATATGACACATTTTGCTGTAGTATGATTAAATCCAACTATAGGTGTCAAATATGGGACTCTCTTCAGGTCTAATCATGAAAAAACTTGAAATGTGCTGATAAAGTTTTGACTTTTCTTCCACATCTTTTCCACACTGTAGGCATCATACTTGGATTTGCCCTCCGACCTTATAAAATGTCTTACCGGGAGGTGAAGTACTTCTCGTTCCCTGGGGAGCTGCTGATGAGAATGCTTCAGATGCTGGTGCTGCCCCTGCTGGTTTCCAGCCTCATCACAGGTATGAACACCAGGTCATTTTAGAGCCATATATTTAATTTGACCTCTTACTCTTCTATTCATTTTAAAAGAAAAGATTTTGAAATAACAGTATTCTTGCTTTTTGAAAGACCTAAACCGTTTCTTTTCAAACATTGATAATCAAAGTGAAATACTTCACACACATGTGAATATACTTATTGCATCAATAATGTTAACAAAATAAATGTGACAATGTTGAACACACCCAAGGCTTATACACAGCACTCCCCACATGATTGTAACATTATTACGGCAAAAAGGATTGGCTATTTTTAGTTCAAATGTAGCTCAGATATCTAAAATAAGCACACATCACTAAGACAGTTCAAACCAGAGTGACACTTCTTTGTTCTAAATTGATATCAAACAACTAAGTCACAATACGCAGCCGTCTACTTTATCACCTAATACCACACAAACCCTGAAATTTTCTTTTATCTGCAACTTATCTGTAAGGCTATGCGCTCAGCATGGCTCTACAGCTTTCTGACAACCAAACAAAAAAAACATCCATCTTCAACTACTGTGTTCCCTAATACTGTCTCCTAGTCTAAAGTGAAGGTACAGCACAATATCCATTCGCACATATGGAAAAAGTAGGACCATACTCTGACTCTGGTTGGTATGAGATAGTCACATGATTCACAATAGTGTGTGTTTTCTGTGAATAAATGTCATACCAGTGATAGTAATGTTTGTTGTTGTGTGGCTATATAGACCAACATGTACCTCATGAGTGGCAGAGTGAGCCAGCTGTCTATGCTGTTTGTTGGTTTCGGGCCAAGTGGTGGACGGGGTTAAGATGACCAAATGAGCAAGAGACAGGCATACATTGAGAGATATGCTTTGAACTTTACACTACTAGACTTCATGACTGGCTAATGAGACAATGGGCCCCTGGGTAAAGACATGCAAAAGGCCCCACCACCACTCCTATAGGAGCAAGACACACTTATATTTTGTCTGTGGTTGTTATGCCCGTTTTTGTAATTGTTTTGTGTCTCTTTGTGGTCATCTTGAGTCTCTTTGTAGTCTTTTGTGTTTCTTTGTAATTGTTTTGGTATTGTTGTAGTTATTTTGTGTCTGTGATTGTTTTCCCATTGTTATGGTCATTTAGCGTCCCTTTTGTAGTCGTTTTGTGTCTTTTTGTAGTCGTCTTGAGTCTCTTTGTAGTTGCTTTGTGTCTCTTTGTTGTTGTTTTTTGTATCTTTGTAGCTATTTTTGTCTGTGGTTGTTTTGTGTCTCTTTGTTGTAATTTTCAATATATTTGAAGTTGCGTTGTATCTCTTTCTCGTCATTGTGTGACTCTTTGTGGTTGTTTTGCCCCTTTTTGTTGTTGTTTTGTCTCTGTTGTAATTTTGAGTCGTTTTGAAGTTGCATTGTATCGCTTTGTAGTCTTTGTGAGTCTCTTTGTGTCTCACAATGACTATGAAGGGGGGGGGGGGGGGGGTAACACTTTAGGCTCTTGAGCCTGTGCACGGTAGGCCCATTCAGTAATACGTCCATGATGTTATCAGTCACATGCTTGACCAATGTTGTAATGGTCTTCATCTTGATACAGCATGACCAAAGCCATCCCAAATTTGTTGTGTTTTCATTGAATAAGCAATTGGGGGGCTTGATTACTTTGTGGTTTCAGTATATCTTGTACCTGCTGCAGCTCACATGTATTTGAGCATATGCTTGAGGAAAAAACAAACATATGACACTGAGATTTTCAGTCCTAATCCATGGATATAATGAGTTCATTCATCACTGTTGACATGGTTCATACACTCATTCAGACACGCAGGGATGTTTTCTTCCAGCTGAGCCTCCACTTGTTATGGACGTAAAATAATAGACTTTCCAAAAACACTGGTCAGCAGCACTGACTGATCAAGCTAGGCAGGATATACTGAGACCAAATGTCCAATCCTTGAGCAGTGATTGAAATAGCAAGAGGCCCATTTCACGAAGGGATGATAGAGACACGTCCGATAATAAGCTGCTTTGTGCTGCAGCGGGGCATAACATCAGCCTCCTCTGACATCATGTCACATGACAGCAGATAAAACAAACCAAGTCATCCGGCACACGGCTCCGTTATCATGTGTGTGCATGTGCCCCATCCAAGTCATCAGATATAGTGTTATCTGCTATGAAGTTGTCATTAGAGTGGAAACCGTCAACTACTATATTAGTCAAAATAACACACTTTACATAACATTTTGGTTTTTCTTTGTATCTTGGCACTTATTATTATTACTATTATGATTGCTATTGCTATTATTATTATTATTGTTATTATTAACTAGTATAATTATTATTATTTTACTCCTACTGGTGCCTTGTTTTCAAAACTTCCAGAAACCATATATTACATGGAATATCGTGTTTGTATTTGTTTTGTTTCTGTTATTGTTGAATATTCAGTTAATTTGGTTGTGCAACATGATTTAGATAGTCTACACTGCACTATCACACAACAATAAAATACCTTGCATTAATCATCAGTCATTTTCTGTGCAACACAAGCACTAGTTTGAACAGACTTTATCTGCATCAGCCACAAAGACCCACATAGGTTCCATGCCACCAGCAAGAATTAACCCGATAGCTGCACATAGAAAGCTAATTCAACCACAGTAAATGCATCAACCTACATGTCTAATACGAGTCTAAAAAGCAAATGAAAAAATATTATAAAAATTTATTTAAAGTCTAGAATGCAGATAAGATACCATTTTATTACTGTAATCGTCCAAAGTCACCGGCTATCCCCTCATTCAATCACACATACAATTCTGAATGGCACAACTGATTCCTGCAAATATTTTAACCTGGTTTTAGTAGATTGACATTCCAGATCCTAATCAGAATTAAATTAATATCAGATTTTCTGTAACGAATTGATTTGCTGTTAAAGTGACATGCTCTTCAGCCCACTTTGTCACAGTGTGTCATACCACTCATTCGACTTCCTTATTAACAAAAAAGGATATACTGTATATCTCCTGAAATTCATCTATACAGCTTTACCCCTGAAGCTCACAATGAGACTATCCTGGTAAATAAATGATAATAATGATAAAAAAAATATATGACAACACAGTGTTTGACCTCGTTTTGTTTGACAAACGAAGATCCAAAATAAAGCCAAAAGATTGTTTCTAATGTCACAGTGTGTGCTTTTGGGTTAAAAGAATCTGGATCCACCCTACATACGTACCTGCACACGCTGACATTATAACGAATTGAAGGAATTTTTTTCTTTACTCACATGGGAAGAAACTTATTACCTTAGTTTTTTTTCAACACCTGCAACCCAGCTGTAGATAAGTTTTTTTCTCCCACAGTATTTTAGATTTCTGCTGAAACTGCGACATCAGTTTTTAGGTATACGTTAGAGCAGCGGTTCCCAAACTTTTTAGGCCACGCACCCCCTTCTACATCTCAACCGGGTTCACGCACCCCCAATCCCCCACACCTTAAAAAAAATAAAAAATCAACAGAGCCTATTTATAGCCGCATAACAATCGGACCAATGAGAGAACAGTTTGCTCGCGCGTGGCGTTTGTTTAGTCCGCTGTTAAATGTTGCATATTAATCCCTGAATCAGAACAAAGCAAACGAACTACGGGTGTGAAAACGCCCTGAAACACTGCAACAAAGTTCCAATACATTTCAGTTACACAAGGCGTCACTTTTAAAGAGCAATAAGGATAGCGAGGACACACGCACAGGCTCAGAGGCAGATTGCATCACATTTAATTTACAATTAAACATACATAGCGGTTACATTAATCTGAATCGAATTACAATAAAATTACTCTCTCCAATCATACATTCCACCATCTCTTTGGCAGCTGGCAAGCACACGTCTTCGGCGATTGTGTGCGGTAGCCCCTTTCTTGCTATTCTGTAACTGACCAGATATGAAGCCCGTAGTGCGTGTTTTGTAGACCCAACACATGAATGAGACTGCAGTTGTTTTTGGCTGTTTTGTAACTCCTCCGATTTCGATATAAAAAAATGTAAGGTGCTTTTGACTTGCACTGGCATGCCTGGTGTTCAGGTGGCGACGTAAATAAGAGGGCTTCAGACAGCTGTTAGCCAGAACCTCACTGCACACCACGCACTGTGGCTTTGGGCAATCTGCATTGCCAATCCAAGTGAAGCCCAGACCAGATCATTTTCATCATATTTCCTCTCTTTTTCCCCAGTCTGATGCTCACTCTCGTTTCGTCTTTTTTCACCTTGACTCCGCGATGGGCCTATGTGCTCCCCATTTGTCTGTGCTATCCCTTCCTCCTTTTTGGTCTCCTCCGTCTCATCTTTCTCTGACTCCTGCTCGATTTCTTCTCCCGGTCTCTCCCCAACGCACCTCTTCGTTTCTCTCGCCTCCGATTCCCCTCTCTTTCCGTCCCTCTCCTCTTTTATGACTGATAGCTTCAGATGTCCCACCTGACAGTTTCCAATTTAGCATATTTGCATGAACGTTGCTGAATGAATGAAGTTAGCTGTTAGCTGACGTTAGCTGCACAAGCTAGGCTACGTGTAAGTGTGTGTACATAAAAGACATAAAAGTCTGGCGGCAGGAGCAGAAGTGCATTTATTTATTAAATTGTAAGTTTTTATATTTAAATGTTACAAAGGGAATTTTTATAATTCATGTTTTTATGTTTTTGTGAAAAATCCCACTTAAATTTTTTTAAATTATATTTAATATCAATCATTACACCATTAGACCACCATTACATTTTTCCTCTCGCGCACCCCCTGGAGGCAGCTCGCGCACCCCCAGGGGTGCGCGCACCACACTTTGGGAATCCCTGCGTTAGAGGACAACATCATCTCTTGATCTTGAAGAGTGTTTTTTGACACACTTTAGCTTTATGTTTATCTGTATTTCACCAACTTTCCTATTAGAACCAATGTCCTTCAGCATAAATGTAATTAAGCTCTGTTTCTAGAGCATCCATAGGAGAACCAATGGATGAAGGATTACGAAAGACTTCAAACAAACTACTCAACATGTCTTCTCCACAAAAGTCCTATTATTTTCAGGTTTTTCATTATGAGAGCTAAAAGTCCACCACAGAGTATTAATAGAGCCAAGAAGAGGGCTGGACAGGGAGAGGGGATGTGGGAAGCCCAGGACAAGGAGTAAAGACAGGACATTCCAAGTCCTGGAATGGAGGATGTTGAATAACTGGACAGATTCGTTGTGACTTTAATAAATAAAGGCAGCAACGTAATGAAATAATTAAGAAGTTATAGAAAATAAATATCAATTTACGGATTGAAATTATTTTGTCAGAATTTGTAACAGTATGTAAAAAGCTGGTAGTAAAGTACAAGTTCTCCCTCAGTTGAATGGTCCCTTGTTAAATAGCTATGTGGTCCAGGTGTAACTTTTGACTTATTGATTTTACCACATGTAGTGTCTGTATAGCCTTTGGAGAGAAATCTTATAGCATTTACGTAAAATCTCATTATTCCATGAAATATAGTGGTATAGAAGAATAAATATCTGGGAAATGCTGATTTATTTATTAAAATGTTATTTTCCACCTCTGCACGTCACAAAGAATGGAACAAAAATCACTTTGTCAAAATATTTTGTGACGGTAAAGTCTTGTTGGAGCTGTGGAGTCAATCTGAGCCCATGCAGAGTCAATGGCCCTCTGGTTAGACCTCCTGCAGTCCCCCCCCCCCTCGCCCTTAACTTTTGTGTTTGAAGAACATTCCCCATATGAGAAAGAAAGTAATTTGGCTCTCCTTCAATCTTGATTCTTTCGTTCTTTTAAAAGGATGGAATTGGGGAGATCCGTTGTTGCCTGGGCAACAGGCAGGGGATCATTGTGTGCGTGCGGGCTGACTAAGTCAACAAGTTTTCCCATGGCTGTTAGAAAAAGAAATTGGAGGAGAGCAGGAGAATTGGGGTGGGGGGGTTGTTGGGTTTATGAAAGGATTGCAGCAATAAGATCAGCGTGCAAGAAAGAAAAAGAGAGAGAGGAGGGAGGCAAAGATGTCGGGGTCGGAGAGGAGGGACAGCAGGGGAGGGCTACTACGGGGGAACCCTGAAACAAGAGGTGGGGTGTTTGGGAGAGGAGGGGAAGAATTTGGGAAAAGTGAATGAGGGAGGGGAGGATGAAGAGGGGAGGATGGGGAGGGGAGGAAGAGGACCCAAAAGAGTTGGATAAAAGCCTTAGTCCTGAGCATGTTGAGAACAGAGGAACAGAGAGGGCCAAAGCAGGGGCAGTAGGTACACACACACACCCACACACACCCACACACATGCATGCACACACAAACAGTGTCAAAGTGCCACATATGTCAGATCTGAATGAAGATAATGGCCATAATAGGACGTGACACTTTGAAACGTTTCCAAATCCAGTTCTCTGGGTGGCTGTATTTCTTTTTAGCACCTTTATCCTGACAAAGCCTATTTAATGCTGTCAGAGCTGTGGAGGAAGGTTTAGCCTGCGGGCTCCATGCACCGTCAAACCTGCTTTTCAGCAGGCCCGTAAAATAAAACTCACCACATATTTTAGGTAACATATAATTAGCATCCTGCCTTCCTTGCAGGAATGATCATCAGACTTTGCAGGGAGCAAAGTATTTCTTTGTAACTCGATAATCAGCTGCAACACTTTTTTTTGTTCTGCATTTGACGTCGCTCTGTTGGTATTTTCTCTGCCAAATATTCAATTGAGGTCCGACTGTTAGTCCCCGTCTAATCTCTGTGTTAACAATAAACTAATGTCACACTTTGGGAAATACAGTGCTGTTGTATGAACACAATAGTTGGAATGATGCTAACTCTACTGGGGTGAAACCTGTTGCCCAACTAGCAAAAGCACAAAATCACAATTTTAGAACATAATCTCTGGCTTGTTTTCAAAGAGTTTCTGCTTGCAGCTATTTGCTTAAACTATATTATCTGTATATATTGGATGTACAGTATGTAAACAGCTTTTGTGTATTAGATCTGGTAGGTGTTGTTTTCCCATCTGTAAAGGAGTCAGATTTAGTTTCCTGCCGCTCTTTGTTATCATAGATTGCTGGGCAGATAATCCAGACAGAGGTAATTGACCCATAATTACAGCACCTTTTCCCAGGCTAACTGTATGCTCATACAGACAGAAGCTAGTGACTCATCTATGTATACTTAAGGTTGCGGAGCAGCATGACTAAAAGTGAAAGGGATCTTTTGTTCCATGTAACATCAGCTGAACCAGATTCTGAGATTATTGCACTGTATTTGAAATATTCCTGCACTCTCTTGATGCAACTACACAGCATTAGCAACATTTGATCTTCATTTTGTTTAAGAGCATGTGACTGAAAGCTATTTGTGTGTAATTGTAAATCCATGACTGAAACTATAGGAACTCTTTGGAGGACAAACCCTTTTGTACTGAAATAGATTCATTTAGATGATATGTCCTTTTCAGGTATGGCCGCTCTGGACGGCCGTGCTTCTGGGAAAATGGGGCTGAGGGCGGTGGTCTACTACACCACCACTACTGTCATTGCCGTGTTCATCGGTATCGTCTTGGTTCTCATTATTCACCCTGGGAAAGGATCAAAGGATGAGTTCACCAAACAGCCAAAGATAGAGGAGATCAACGCATCTGATGCCTTCCTGGACCTCATCAGGTACCCACACAAACATTTATGCACGTTTGTAATCTGTAAATAATCTGTTAATCCTAACGAAAATGTACCTCTTTCGTTGTGTCTTCTAGAAACATGATTCCTCCTAACCTTGTGGAGGCTTGCACCAAACAGGTGACTCTCCCACAACATCCCCTGTCTTTGTCCTGCAGTTACATGAAATATTGTATTCCTTAATTGTCTCACTTTAGCATAGAGTGCACATTTCACATTGTTTAAAGCCTCTCCGGCACGTTTCTTTTGTATGTTCATAATGCCGTCGTCATTCTTGTGGACGTCCAACTTACTGGAGATCTCTGTTACGCAGGAAATTAAATTCCTCAACAATTAAATGTAAATTTGCTTTCCATGCTTACATCTGACTCAGCTGAGTTGATAACCGAGGCCCTCGTCTCCGTGCCCCTTTCATTTCCTTATTCCAACACATTTTATGCAGGCGGGGGAACTTGGGTGACATTGTGACATTTTGTGTACCAGATGGTAATATAGGAAGTTGAAAGCACCAACAAATAACTACATCCTAATCTATTTGTTTTAGTGTAAATAATTGAAATTGAACATGTTAGCCTGGAATTCTTATGAAGTTTAAGACACACTTTCTTTATATTCGAACAATAGATGTACTTGGTAAATCTTCAATGACCCTGACTCAAATGCTTATTATTTATTTTTGACTAAAAGTATTTCTAAAAATATTTCTGCTCCAGGAATTAATCGCTATTCAACTCGTCCTCTTTGCAGTTCAAGACGCAGTATGCCAAGAGAGTAGTCCTCGTGAGGATAACAGTGAATGACACCGTATTCACACTCAACGGTAGCGAGGAGATCACCCAGGAGGAGACGATCCCAGTGCCAGGGTCGGTTAACGGAGTCAATGCTCTCGGCCTGGTGGTGTTCTCAATCTGCTTCGGTCTGATCATCGGGAGCATGAAGGAACAGGGGAAGCCCCTCAAGGACTTCTTCGACTGTCTCAATGAAGCCGTCATGAGGCTGGTCGCCATAATCATGTGGTGAGTACCAGCGGGGATGGATTGCTGAATGGGTGGAGAGAGATAAATGTGGTATGAAGTGTCGGATGATCGGCATTAACAGTAACACTCATCGAACCTCAGGTACGCCCCTATCGGTATCCTGTTCCTGATTGCTGGTAAGATCGTGGAGATGGACGACATCACATCCATGGGTGGCCAGCTGGCAATGTACACAGTGACCGTCATTTGCGGCCTGACCATCCACGCCGTAGTTGTCCTACCAACGCTCTACTTCATCGTCACCAGGAAGAACCCCTACGTTTTCATCGCTGGGCTGTTGCAGGCACTCATCACTGCCCTGGGAACATCATCAAGGTATGCGATTGGGTTTTTTATCCAAAAATATCAATTATTATTAAATTGAAGTCCGTCTCAAGGTAGAATGTATTGTCATTCTCTTATGTACAATATAGGGAATTTAAATTGTTGCATTTTTAAATCATAGCTGACTTGCAGTGAGTGGTTTTACACTTTGGTAAAGAGCCTCCCTGGATGCAACGGATGATGAGTGTTGATGAGCATGATTCAGCATCTTGTGGTAATTTCTAGGAGACTGTCTCTGTCTTTGTCTCTGTTTTTTCACTCTCCCCCTCCCTCTCTTCTCTGTCAGTTCTGCCACACTGCCGGTCACTTTTAAATGCCTGGAGGAAAACAACAAGGTGGACAAGCGCGTGACCCGTTTCGTGCTCCCTGTCGGCGCCACCATAAACATGGATGGCACAGCTTTATATGAAGCCCTGGCTGCCATCTTTATTGCTCAGGTCAATGATTATGACCTTACCTTTGGACAGATTCTCACCATCAGGTATGTGATATACAGTACTAAAAACATTAATTAATGCCATTCATTCAATGATTTAAAAAAGACCCAAACTGATGTTGTTTTTTACCTGCTCAAAGAATTGAATCAGTTTTGGATGTACCAGAGAATATTTCAATTGCATTTGTTTTTCCATTATGGCAATAAATGCAGCTTAACCCAAGTGAAGCATCTCCAAGCCTCAAAACCACAGGTTGCTGCTTTATAAATTACTTTCCACCAGTTATGCTTTCTGTCCAGCAGTAGATGGGAGATTGTATTTCAGCCAAGGGAATGAATTCTAAGTGACCCTCTTCAATTCTAGGAATGATCGAGAGGTCAATACAGGGACATGTCTGTCACAGTTGTACTTATGAATGGTTTTTAGGCACCTAAAATGTCTCTGCGTCTGCCTTTTTCCCTCCCCCTTTACCATCAGTATCACGGCGACAGCAGCCAGTATTGGAGCAGCTGGAATCCCTCAGGCAGGACTGGTCACCATGGTAATAGTGCTAACGTCTGTAGGCCTGCCCACTGACGACATCACACTCATCATTGCAGTTGATTGGTTCCTGTAAGTATGGTTTATATGACATCTTAGGATGTTTCCTCAAGTAGCACCAGCACTCTTTAGAAACTGAAAAATGCGGGTTTTAGAGAGGGATGAAGAGGGTTAAGTCGCAAGGAAATATAGTTATGATATAGTAGTATGAATTCAATTGAGCTCTTCTCAGGGGGATTTTAAGAGGTTAAACGGGATCAACCTGGTTTGCACTCTTGAGTGGATTATAGGACAGCTTCCAGAGACACTCCCTTCACGTTCCTTGTCCATCCATCTGTTTTTTATTCAGTCGGCATCCGAACTCAGTGAGAGCTGTGTTTCATGTGGTTTGGAAATTGTCTGCAACGATTAAAACTATGCCTCCAGTTTACTATTGATACTATTTTATGCAAAACACATTTACAGACACTCCATGTGTACTTCATTTTCAATGACTTCAACTAAATAGTTTAATATTCATTGTCTTCGTTAGTCTTTTTAGTTTTTTCTCATTTTTTTTTTGTATCGTCTTTTCTTCTCTTCTCTTGTTTCATGTTGTCTTGTCTTGTGTTGTTTCATCTTGTCGCGTCTTGTCTTCTACATGCCTCCCGTCCTCACCTGTTCTTCCTCAGGGACCGATTGCGCACCACCACCAACGTCCTCGGAGACTCCATCGGTGCAGGTATAGTGGAGCACCTGTCTCGCCACGAGTTGCAGAAGAAGGACCCCGAGGTGGGCAACTCAGTGGTGGAGGAGGCCGACAAGAAGCCGTACCAGCTCATCTGCCAGGAGAATGAGTATGATACCGAGAGGCATGCTGACAGCGAGACCAAGATGTAGATTTTTGTCCAAGGTTGTCTACATTCCTAGGAAAACCATTGCACTGCATTGAACCACGCTCTCAAACTATGCTCCTCTTAATTTGAAAACCTTCCTCTCACAAGGTTGGAGGGTTTGAAATAAATTGATCTACAGCTAGAACATTTTTCAGCCAAGATGTGCGAGATGTAGTGTGGTCTTTCCTGGCACACTGTCGACTTGAAATGGTTTGCTGTTGCATTGTCTTTACTAGGGTTTGTGATATGATGCAGATTACTGTATCTGCCATAGGGTGGCAGCTGTTTACTATGAAGACTGAACTACTTTAGAGCCTAATGATCCGTGGCCTGTGTGCCATAGCCAACCTCTCTCAGAACTGTGATGACTAATCTCACCCACTAGAGGTCTGTATTGCTGTGAGTCTTAACGCCCATACTTGCACAGCCCAGGCTATAAAGTTGTTGCTTTTGTTTTGTTTGCGCGATGTTGTATATGAAAAGTGTAAGTGTAATGTTGGATATCATGCACATACACTGGGGTGACCGGGCCAACTTCGTTGGGGGAAAATGGCTGCTTATTTTACCAACTTCTGTTGGTGGCTATATTTTCTATGATTTGGTGTATTTTCAACTGACTGAGTGAGTGATGTAATTTACCCTAAAGCACACATCCCTTTGTCCCCTAATTGTCCAAACCAGGAAGTGCTGTCAGACTAACTTGGCCACTATCCAGTCTAGTCAACCAAACATTACAATCATGAAGACTGATGAACCAAAATCACTCAGACATGTTTTTAACGATACATTTGCTGAGCTAAGAATTTTAAAAACGTAATCAAATCAGAATTTTAAGCCATTGTATTTCAACCAAAAAAGCACCAAAAAGACTTTCCAAATTTCTATATAGTTTATTTAACTCATACCTGCCCATGCCTAAACATATTACTGACCAGCACAATAATACAGTACTGCTTCAATGGGAAGATGGTAGTGATTTTATTTCTGATGAATTCTGATGGTGAGTGTGAGTCGATCCCTTACATAGGCCCCCTGACATGGGCATGGATTAAACTAACATTATTTGGTTGAAATATTCACATGGTAGTATGAAATATGTCTTTTATATTAAATTAATAAAATGGTAGCCAGTAGGTTGGATATTTAACCTCAAATTGTTTATTCTCAATTCAGCTTTCTTTAGATAATACAATCTAATGTTTATTTCATTTGATTCAATACGGATGCATGTTGTAAAGTAACACATTTCAGTTCATTTCCCATATCTTTTGTTTTAGCTAGCTTGTACTTGAGCTACTTCAGTATACATAACAATGTATAAGTTGCTTTGTACAGAAGGTTCTTCTGAATATACTGTACTTGTATAGATAAATGTAGATAAATGTGTACATTAATTGTAGATTTTAAATGGTAAAGGGTTACTTGAGGATTGCATATGTAAAGATGTTGTAACTATATGCTCTAACAAACCTTTTGATCAAACTAACGATTCCCTCTAGTTCCTTTTACAAATGCAAAACTGGCTGGTTTAAAGGACCAAATGTTTTTGTCCTTTACACACTTGAGGAAATGGAATAGTTCCTTTGTTTACAGTTGCGGGTGTCTCTCTTGATATGATTGTTTCTCTCATGAATTCACATGTGACTGCACACACAAACACACAAACACCTGACTGAGCAATAGTTGTAGTTTTATCTTGCATGGATTTTTATGAATAAAAAAAAATAAAATCGGTGGTTGTGTATTTATCATTTTATCATGGACATCTGAAAGACAACAAATGTAATCTATGATATGTGTAAAAGGTAGATGTATCTACATGTTTAGAATCCTTGTTTAATCCTCATTTGACATCTTTCTGGATCCATATTCTGTATGTTTACCTTTTTGTCATCCTGATTGTCTAGAATTGATTTTTATTTGGTTGATTTATTCTGTACACCCAACATCAATTGCATATGTGTTACCCTGTTAAAGTTTTGGTTTAGAGAGTTTTTTCTTATCTGAATCAAGGGTCAAACAGACAGATGGTGTCATATGCTGCACAGATTATAAATCCCCCTGACCAAATTAGTCCTATTGTGCTGTATAAAATTGACTTGTCTTGAGCTAGTTTGGACATACGTATTCTAGGCAGTGTGCAAACTACCCATATTCATACCTCAGAGCTACCCAGAGGGATGTTATGTACAGTTACAGAACAGCTTAGCGAGTGCTAAGGTGGCAGCATCTGGTGGTTGGTGGGACTGGAGTGGAGAGCTGTTCTCATTTTCCTCCACCAACCCTGATTGTCCTCGCTGGAATTGGTGTTCCAAACCATGATGCCTTATACAGAAGTGCTTCCTTCAGGCCATTGCCTCTCTAACAAATACAGCGTTTTCTCATCACCATCATATTTAACAAATGATAGTGCTGACACCTTGAGGTCAAACAGTGATTTGAACTCCTTCAAAACAATGTACATTACACTTCCTGAAAAAAATTGTATTTCAATTTCAATTTTGAAAAATCTATCCTCAAATCTAATAATGTAATATGTATAATATATAAATATAGTGTCTCTTTCATGATAGGCTACTTTATGTCTACTCTATTACATTTAGGTTTACTTTTAACACTCCTAACTGTATCTGACATAGTTATTAGTTACTTTGCAGATCAAGATTGTATGGAGAGAACAGCCTTGAAACAGTGTGCATTGTTATAGACCAAACTAAAATAACAGAAGATAATAGTTCAACACAGGAACACTGTGAGAGGGATCATTCTGCATTAGTAGCCTACTTTTGCTTTTGATGCTTCATATGATGATGTTCATATGATGCTAATAATATACGACTTTTACTCCAATTGAGTATTTTTTAAATAGCAGCAGGCTTTTACCACTTTCCTTAAGTAAAGGAACGGAGTCCGTCTTAGCATTAAACATAAAACATTGCATTGTAAGTGTTCCACCTAGCGGAATTATATACATATATATATCGTTTTTTATTTTGTTATGTTTATAATATTAGTAGCCTACGTTACTGTAGGTAAGAAGAGACTGCAGGAGATGTATGTTGTTGGTAATTCCATGGCCTGTTTCATCACCAGAAAATTATGATTTGTTTATATACGTAGACTTTATACTATATTTATTTAGCTTTCTGATGTAAAAGTAAATTTAAGCTATAGAGCAGGTAAGGTTGTCTTGCAGCGCCATCTAGCGGCTCAAACACGAAATGTCGCATGGCATTTTGTTTGGCGCCGATGGAGGGAGTCACTCCTGAGATCTTTGGTCAGTCAGACGGCAGAACTTCCGGTCGGCATTTTGTTCTACGAGAGGAGAACCTCTTGATGATCGCAACAATCGTCATATTTCTCATTTACTGTCGAAATTGGCTGCACTCATTGTTTATGTCGGCGCAGACCGACTGAAACGCCGACGAACGAATGTTTCCCCATGAATGTACGTTGAAACATTCACTCCTGAGTGACGGAAAAAGAACGAATCAGTCCGACCCGGATTATTGTTGATAGCTAGCAAGCTAGCTAACCAGCTAGCTGGCAAGCCAATCGAGTTCCTTCTGGAGGAGCAGAGAGAGAAGAAAGGGGGAGCTAGAGATACGGACACGGACAGAAACCAAGCTAAAACATTCCCCTCCCTTTGAACGCAAGATCCGAAGGTAAATATAATCACCCGTCTATCTTGATGCAACAAAGTTTTTTAAAATTGCGATTATTAACAATAACATAAATAAATGCTCTGCTGCACGACCACCTACGGCGTCGTTAATCGTTGACCTGGAGGTAACGGAAGCTAGCGAACTAGCCAGCCGAGCTAGCTAGGTGTGTTTTTGCTCCGCCGAGGCGCACGGCCTCGACTGGATGTCATTTGTCGAGCCCGGGGATTGGGCCGTTGCCACGGAATTAGACTCCGTACCGTTGCTTTTACGTACGTCTACTCACACTAACTCTTCGCATTATCCCGAGCTCAGGGGGAATTGACTCGCACGCATCTCCTCCTACAAGCGCTTCCTTGTATTAATTTAATAGCAGTCGCTTTATTTGAACGAGGAACAGCGTTAGAAGCTAACCCACAACAGTTAGAGCTAGTTAGCATAACTAGCAAGCCATTAAAATACGACTATTGTTGTTAGCGAATGTTAGGCAGGTAGCATTAATTATCTTGGCTGCTATCGTAACATGTAACACTAGTTAGCTCGAAAGACCCAGACAGGAAACTTATTGGCAGTGTAATGTTGAGTTTACGCTGGTAGGTTTGTGCGCAAGTGACGTTAGCGGGCTGCAGCTGACATTTCAGCTAACTAAGATAAACAATTTAATGATTGCTAACGTCAACTATACGTTAGCTAATGTTTGGGTTGTCATTATTTTGTGTTGTTTGGCTGTTAGCGTTGTGCGTTGGTCTGATGGAGCGTTTGACAGGGCTTCTGTTGGGTTTGATTACTCTCCTGTTTTGAAATGTTATGAGTGACTTAAGTTATAGACTGAGCACACGCAACGTTGCCTCAGCTATAGTTAACGTTACTCAACGCTAACAGTTATCGGAGTTTGGTTGACATGTGGATGTTGGTGGAATATTACACACTTTGGCTTCTCGGCTACAACAGAAACAGTTTGATTGCTTTCTGCAGTTTGCAGAATGCGCTCGGTGGCTGTCGGCTGCTGGAGGATACAGCCCCCCCACTACTGCCGCCACCATCACAGTGCATCTGTTCCCTTTGTGCTGCCTCCTGCCTGTCAGTCTCACAGCTGTCAGGCAAGCCCCTGCGTACCGAGGAAGAGCACATCGACTGAGCATGCTATCGTTACAGCTAGCCAAAGCAATGTTTACAAAATCCATCTGTTGATCCTCCAACAGTTATGTCATGCAGAAGCTGTTGCACGTATTTACTACACTATGACCTCAACGATCGGCTTGGACTGAAGTCTGGTTTCAACATTGTGTTTACAGATTTGCATGGAATCTCTATTCAGCAGAAGTTGTCAACTGTTGCTTTTCCTTAGTTGTCATGAAAAATAATTTCTCATCAGTTCTCAACAGTGTTGCATTCTAGGTTTGAAGATTGTGTAGCAGTAATAACATGGTTGTTGCAAATATGGAATGCTTGTGTGACAGTCAGTGTTGTGATGCTGTATCTGGCATTATTTTGCTGGTTTCAGTTAGTTTATTAGTTTAACTGCCGTTGACGCAACTCTATCTACAATTTTCCCCATAGCAGAATAAAATGCATTTTATGTCACAAAGTCTGATGCAGGTCCACGTTGTCTTTCAACAGAGTGAAGGAGTGGGACTTTTTATCTGAAATGTCAGTGAGTCCACCCGAGACTGCACAGAATTCTTCAAAAAGGTATTTTTACAATAGTTTGAGCCATTTATCATTTTTATTGACTTGTCATTATCAACAACAGTAATGCCTGCTTACTCTTAATTGATAAAACAACTGAGAATCTCGTGCTATCGATGCCTTTCATTTTGACGTCTAACACATTCATCATAATTGTGTCATGGGAAGTATACACAGAAAATGAGAGAGTTTCGTCCTGGCCTTCTACCGAGTTATTGTAGCAACCAGGCTTATCCATGAAGCCTGGGCTGATATTTGGAAAATTCCCGGTGGCTTTTCCTTCAGCTTTTCTTTGACCTCCTTTGACTACTCTTACTTGATGACAGGTCAAGGACACCTAGCAAGAAAACACAAATAAAGTACAACATAGGGTTCTAATTTATGCACATCCCTCATTATAAACAGAGGGTGAAGTGCCCTGTGGTTTGACATTAGTGACTGGTATGGTAGTAACACAAAGATTGACATCAGTTGACTACTAATACAGTTCGACAGTCCTGTTGATATTAAGTGCTGTAAATAGAGGAGTGTTGGTTTATACCCACACTTAGTATAGTATCTACTGTATTACCAGGGCCAATCAGAATGTCATGGCTTATCCACTGGAGTACATTATCACTGGGGCTGTATATTATTCAAAAAATTACTATACTGGTGACAGTATGATGCATGACTATGATCATGCTTTTTCCCCCCACAAAGCTCCTTTCTTATGTTAATATTGTGCAGTTGTGTTTACAACTTATTTTCCGTGCAGAGAATGCATTGGTTTCCCCTTGATGTTTGTATATTGCATATTTTCTATTACGGGGAAGCTATGTAAAGTAATCTGACATGACAATTAAATGACTCATAATAAGCATCAGTCAGTAAACTGAGGCTGAACTGTGACTTACTTTACAGATTGGAACCAAAATAGCAAGCATTTTAATATCTTATTCATCGGTTCATTGGACTGGGATAGTACATCGTTGATTTGTCGCTGCTGATTGCGTATGCCAGAATAATAACATAACGTGATGGAGCAGCAGGATGGTCTACTAGTCAGTGACCTCTAAGACCTATTCAATCCTTCGTTTTGATCTGTTGAATATACTTGAGTAAGACACCTAACCTGCACTCATGGTAGTGCCATGACATTTCTAATCCTGTGTCCCTGCTATTACCCAAGCAGAGAGCACTAAAGACCCCCCCCCCCTTTATGGATTAGTAACCTATATAAATAATACTATAGGATATATGAATGAAAAGGGTGGGATCCATGACAGTTTATTTTGATTGACAAGATCTAATGAGACACATTTATTTGTGGCTCACAGATGATGCAGCCGGTACCAGTTCTCCCTCACACAATATAATCTCAGCATCAGGGCAGACATAGCAGTATTTGTGCAGCACATAATAGTTCAATCACTGCATTTGATTCCATGTTTTTTGATGTCTGAATCCTATGAATTGACTTTTTTATTGTTTTCACTTGTTTTTCACTTTTTATCCCTTCTTTTTTCTGTCTCTACTCATTTCGTAAATCCTTTTCTCCTCCTGTTACTCTTGCCCTCTTTCTCCTTCTTTCTCCTGCCTCCATTCATGCTGTTTTTGTTGTTGTCTTTCTCTCTCCCTGACTAACCTTCCTCTCTCCTAGGAGTCAGGAGATGTGAGGACGGGTGTCGTTCATCGACCCCCTGATCTACCTGTGTATCAACACACTCCCCCACCCTCACCTTCAGCATGAATGGGGATATGCCTCATGTTCCCATCACCACTCTCGCTGGGATCGCTAGCCTCACAGACTGTGAGTGACATACAGCCGTTCTCCAAACTCACTAGC